TGATGAGTCTGAAGTGCCCCAGAAAGCAACATGGAATCAAAAACATCGTAACAATAATGAACTGCATGAAAGAAAGAAATATGCAGTGTCTGCACCCTGTCGTAAACCTGTGGGGGAGATACAGGTTCAACTAAACCTACAAAGAGAGAGAGAGAGAGAGAGAGAGAGAGAGAGAGAGAGAGAGAGAGAGAGAGAGAGAGACTAGTCCCGCAGTAGTCTCCGACAGAGAACACCGGTGAACACGAATATGGTACACAGTAGTCAACCGGAGGGTCGGTCAAACTGAGGGGGGGGGAGAGGGATGTACAAGCTGAGGGATGTACAGGTTGAGCAATTCATGTGTACACACACATACACAGGTTGTTTGTACAACAACTGTGATGCCATGTGCTATGCATGTGTCGCATCATCCCTGATGTCTGATGTGGTCTGTCGTGTTGTGTGGGTGTGTGTATGTGTGGTGTCGTGGCCGAGCACTAACTACTGCGTCTCCTGTCGACAAGCCGGGGTGCAATGTCTCTCCCCAAGCTGTGGCCACTGCGCCATGCAGGAGGCAACTCAGGTTCAGTCCCCATGTCAGCGATGTTGCTAGCACAGCCTCTCTGTTCACTAGAACAAACCATGCCTTGCCGATACGTGACCATTTTTTCCCCTTCTTGCAGGATCGCATTATGGTGGTCACTGCAGCATACTGCATGGCACCATCAGGTGTCACCCCCTTGAACACCACACGCAGCACGTTGTGCGGATCGGGAAATACTCGTGCCAACCTCAGGATTGCATGTGCCCAACCTTTGGTTGCTTGTCCACCCGCTGTCTTGAGATCGTAGTACACGTCATTGTCGTCGTCCGCTTCGTCGCTGCTGACGTCCTTGCCGCTCACATCCACGTCAGACCCCTCGCACTCTTCCTTATCCTCCTCCTCTGCATCGACTCTGTGCTGTGCATCGTCTGTGTGCTCATCCTCCTGCTGCTCCCCGAAGAAGAAACGCTCACAAGTGTCCATATACACCAACATCTCTGTCGATGGTGTGTGCAAGGTAGACACGTCAACCACCATCGCTCTGCTCGTATCTTGTGCTGCTGATGTCTCCCCGGTTTCTTCAATGACCGGTAACCTTGTTTCGCTAACAATCATCCTCCAACCCTCTTCCCTTTCTCTTTGTCTCTCGACATCGCAGGTTGCAAGACCAAGCCGCTCCAGAGCACAACCCAACAAGCCCCCCCACAATGGTCTGCCACTAATGATCTCCTCTCCTGCCGACGCGGGCTCAAACTCAATGACATCTCGACCCTGCACGACATACTCTGTGACTTCGTTGAACATCTCATGAATGACGTTCCTGTCGTCCTCTGACCTCCCCATGAGATCACATAGCTGGTCAAGCAGAACGTATTCCACACCGTCTGCAACAAT